GGAGGATCCTAAGGTGAAAGGGTACCCGTACACCTCTGCCCTTCGCCCGTGTCCCCCCTTGTTGGGCCTCCGGGGAGGCCCTCGTCGCTCCCTCCTCCTCCTCCTCCTCCTCCTCCTCCTCCTCTCCTCCTCCCCTCCCCCTCCTCCTCCTCCCTCCTCCTCCTCCTCCTCCTCCTCCTGCTCCTCCTCTTCCTCGCACTCCGGGAGGGGTCCGGGGAGCAGCGGTAGCGGTACCTGGTGGTTTCCCCGGACGCCCAGGCGAGCTGCACGGATCGGGGAGGTGCCAGAGCACGCGGTGGAGCAAGAAACAGAGACGGAGTCATAAAAAGAGAAAGAGAGAGAGAGAGAGAGAGAGAGAAAGAGAGAAAGAAAGAAAGAGAGAGAGAGAGAGAGAGAAACGGAAAACAGATAAGGAGACGGAGACAGAGAAAGAAACGCAAACAAGCAAGAGCGACCCCAAGACAAATAGGTTGAACTTTCTCCCTTTCGGGGGGGGGCAGTCGTCACACCGAAGATCGGGATCAGCCGGAGCAGGCTGAGGAGTCTGGTTGCCATAATCCCTTCGCGGGTCCTCCGATATAGGAGCCTCCGGGCAGCGTACTTGGGCCATATGGGGGGCCCACGTGGTGTCATTTCTGAGGACTGTGGACGCTCTTGGGGCCGTCTCGGAGGCCATCGACGAGAGACAGGGAGGTTCTTCATGTCAGTCTCCCCCTCGGAGCCAGAATCTTTGTCTCTTGGCGCCCTCTTGGCGCGCTTTTGGGGCGCTCTTGGACGCTCTTGGGGCCGTCTTGGAGCTCTCCTGGGCCCATCTTGGGGCTCTCTCTTGTGCGCTGTTAGTGGCACTCTCGGCGGCGCGCACGGGAGAGAAGTGACTCAAGGGGGGGAAAACCACACGGATCCGATGATTGACGTTTGCGAAAGGCCCCTGGGCGTTTATTAAACAGCCCCGCCTGGTTCGATTCCTTCCTTGGGCGCGTTTACTAAACGGCTTCGCTTGTCGGGGTGATTTCTGCAGAGATCCGGCGTCGTGATTCTTTCGATGCGGGATCCTCGGAAGTCTCGACCCATTCCCCAGGACCGCTTTTTCATCCTGAGTCGCCTTTTGACGGTCCCGGGGCCCGGCGAGGGCCGCGAGAGGCAGAACATTTCGAAAAGCCTCCGTCTTGATTTTTTCAATGCGTTGGATATCTGGGCATGGGGGTGGATTTTCTGCCCTCTCGAGAAGCAGCCACTGTCACCCGGGCAGGCCTAGAACACTCTCAGAAGGCCGCAGGCCTTCAGAGCCTCACGACCAGGCATCCGCCCCCTCTGCCTGCCCCCGTAGTCTCGTCGCCGGCATCTTTTGAGGCACCCGAAGCCGACCGGAAGCGAGAAGGCGAGAGGGCAAACCATAGGGGAACGAATAATGACGTAACGTAATTACCCTGTGACGTACCCAACCCATTTGTATCAGTGGAAACGATGAGTTGGCCGAAATTTGTATGGACAATCAACCTGATGTGTAAGCTACTTGGGAGGCGTCACTGTGCTGGGCCCCGCAAGCAGGCCTCGAAAGTGGCGACAGTTTCACAGATCGCAACCCCCCAGGGATGGCGAGGATGGGAGGGCCCACGGCAGCACTCGAAACGCAGCGACGAGCCAGGTAAAAGGCAGGGGGGAAGAGGGGGGCGGGATTCGCGCGAGCAGTGCTCTATTCAAAACGAGAACCCAACGCAGGGGGGGTGGGAAATACGGTGGGGGCGTTCGTGAAGGCATGCGCCCAGGAGGTGCCAGACCCTGGAGCATTCCTTATCGGACGAGGGCGGTGGTGATGTCCATGGCCAAGCCACGGTTGGATTTCACACCGGCTTCCAGACCCTGGATTCCTAATCTATGGGGCGAACAAACCTACCTCGCTTTTGACCATCCTCGCTTCCAAGAGATACCAAGCGATGCCAAACTGCGGCCTCTACTGGTCAGGCCGCTTGACGAGGAGGCGCGTGGTATGACTTGGTTTTGCCTGGAAGCGAAAGCGGGGTAGGCAATTCACGCTCTGATAATCGAAGGGTTCCTTATCCAAAGCATAGGGTTAAGTCGGGCGTGTCCCCCTGCAGGGGGGATATTCCAAAATAGTGAGCAAGAGTCTGGGGACGATGTTTTGGTTCTTTGTTTGTTATTCTTGTTTATTTTGGTGTATTTCCATTGTTTCGCTCAAAATCCGCCTGCAGGGGGACGCCTCGTGCTGCCCCTGGCGCGCTCCGCGCGCCAGGGAGGGGGGGGTCCAGCGCCGATCCGAGAAATCCGCGTGGACCTCTGAGTTTTTATGATTCTGTCATTGTTCGTCCCCCTACTGAAGGTGTTCTGTCTCAGATGGTCTCCGCTGGTCCTCAGAACGTGTGTTGTCGCCAGCGTGTGCTTGTCCACCGAGGCCCGTCAGTACGACGCAAGCGGCGCAACGAGGGTGTACACAGGCTGTACGCTATCGGCGGAACCGGACGACGTAAGATCTCACCCGGGCTAATACAGTCAACCCGCATAGTAAGGATGAGCAACTTTCCAAGGGTACCCTTGCATCCTTCCCCTGCGGTCCATCCTTGGCCACTTTCGCCGGCCGCGCCTCGCTCGTAAAGTGTCGACATGGCCTTCCAAGGCCCTCGCGTCCTTCTCGTGCGTCCTTATGCCACGGGGCGACCGTACATATCGTGCATCCCATCGTGCATCCTTATCGTGCATCCTTATTATATCGTGCATCCTATATCGTACGTTTACGGGGCAGCCTTATTCTTAGTCTACGGGGCATCCTTATCGTGCATCCCTACCGTGCGTCCTTACTCTATCGTGCATCCTATCGCACGTCCTGAGGATCCTCGGCATGCCGATGCAACTCCTGGGCGGCGACGCCCGAGCGCTCCAACAGAAGAGAAGGCGAGAGGGCGGAGCACACAGGGTGCCCCCTCGGTGTTGGGAGGCTGCTTTCCTCTCGGGGGCGTGGTCTGCAGGCGTCGGCACGTTGGGAAGCTGTCCCGGGGCCCGGGGCCGTCTTGGGCCATCTGGGGTCGTCTTGCAGCCACGGTTTCCGAGGCGGGAAGTTATCCATGTCCACCGCCTGGAGGGTCAGTTTTCGGAGCCTCGGCCGGCGGTGAATGTGGACATATTCGGGCCCGCGGGGGCCGAAATATATCCACATTCACCGCCCGCTGGGGCACCAGGACGTCGGTTCACAGGCGATGGATATGGATAAATCTCCGCCTCGCTTAGTTGACCATCTTGGACGCTCTGACGCGTCGCTGGGGATGATTGCCAGACTCAGGGAGAGGGGCTTACGGGGAGAGGTGAACCTTTCGCGGAAGGGGAAGAAGAAGCTTGGCACACCTGAGTCGTCAATCTACCTGCGCCCAGAGAGCTGGTGGGATTATTTCCACACATTTCATGGCGCCTTTTTCTATACCTATTTCAATATTTCCGCCCCTTTTCCCCTGGGCCGCGCACATTCCGCCGGCCATGATTCGCGCCCCCCCCCTCTTGGACGCCCCCCTCTTGGCCGCCCCCGAGATTACGGCCAGGAGCTGTGGCTTAGCGTGTCGCCCCGCCAGTTCTTGCCCACCAAGCTTCAGCGCGGCACGCCAACCATTTCCCAGCCCCCAAGCGTCAACATCCCGAGCATGCCCCATCCTACTGCCACGCGGAGCGGAGCGAAACGCTATCGCATAGCGCATAGCGTGTCGCGGGAGCCGCCGCAGCGACACGCTAAGCAGAAGTTCCTGGCCGTAGAGAGCAGTTTTTGAAGCTTGCTGACGCCGCCTCTGCAGGCGTTGAGTGCAGACGCTCAGGCAGAACGAGCATAGCAGTTGCCGATGCAGCGGCAGCGCTCCCTCCTCGTCATCCCATTATTCTTCCGCCCTCCTCACTCTGCTCCTCCTCCTCCTCCTCCTCCTCCTCCTCCTCCTCCTCCTCCTCCTCCTCGTCCTCCTCCCTCTCTTCCTCATTCTTCATTCCTGTTCCTGATGAAATAGCTTCTCCCTGTCGCACTCCGAGGCCAGTTTTTAGGGCGGGCTGGGTGCTTTGCTTGAGAAATCCTCATCATTGATGACCCTGAAGCTTTAACATTGGTAGCAGTTTCACAGATGGAGGGCGGGTGGTTTCCAAAATGTGGCTCTCGCCTCCGCACCGCGCGCATTCGTTTTCAACATTTGCAAGAACTTCACGGATTGAGGGCGGACCGTTTTCAAAATGTGACTCTCGCCTTAGCGCCGCCCGTTCCTTTTCAAGATGTGGCCCTCGATTCGATGCCGCGCACAATCGTTGCTGAACATTGCAAGAAGTTCACGGATTCCCATGGTCAGCGTACCAGAAATGGTGTTCTGGAACGACTCAGGCTTATGAAGGTGCAGCAATTACACTGATTCGCGGTGCTGTTGAAGTCACAGGAATGGCTCTCTGGCATGATTCAGGGTCGTCAACACGCAACAGTCAGGTTGACCCGTGGTTTTGGAATCCCGAGAGCAGTGGTGTGGCATGCTTCAGGGTCTTCAAACGGTTGTCCTCCAACGGGGCAGTTCCCTCAGTTGAAATAAACAGTTGTAGGGGCCTGTGGAGGGTTTGTTCTAACATCGCTGATGCCTCTTGGGTTTACACTGATCCTCCTCCTCCTCCTCGTCCGCCTCTTCCTGGGGGGAGCCTTCAACAAGACGGCGCGCAGACTGCTGCAATGCCGAGTCCATCCGATCGACCTCATCCTCGGCCTCCCTCCTCCCTCATCCACCCTCCTCCCCCCTCGTCCCTCGTACTCCTCTCCCCCACCCTCCTCCACCCTCCCCCTCCCTCGTCCCTCCTACTCCCCCACCCTCCCCGCCCACCCTCCTCCCTCCTCCCTGGTGCTCCTCCCCCCCCACCCTCTCACCCCTCCTCCTGCCCCTCCCTCCCCCGCTCCGGAGCCCCCTTGGGGAGGTGGCACGGGCGAGGAGGTCGAGACGAGGGTCCGGCGAGGCGCCCGGTTTGCTCGCCCCTTGCGCCGGCAGGTGCTCCGCATCATGACGAACAGGCTCGCGCCGTCGGGCCGCTACGTGGCGAAGCCGCGCACAGGCCCGCCCCCGCGCCGTGCGTGCACGACGACGACGACGACGACGACGACGACGACGACGACGACGACGACGACGACGACGACGACGACGACGACGACGACGACGGGGGGCGGCGGCGGCGCCGCCGCTCCGCGGCCGCCGCCCGCACGAACTCGCCCTTCACAGGTGCCGCCGAGCGGCCGCGGCGGCCGCCGAGGCCTCTGCTGCGGCCTCGGATGCTGGCGGCCTCCGCGCGGTGTCGGTGTGTTGTGTGTGTTGTGTGTTGTGCGTGTTGCGTGTGTTGTGTGTGAGCTGTGCCCTCCGCCCCCACTAGACCCCAGAGGAGGAAAAGGGTGCCGATACTGCAGCCTTCGCCCGATTCCCCTCTCTGAGGACCTCCCGGGAGTCCCTCGCCGCCACCGCTGGATTCGCCCCGAAGCTCGGGCCAGAACGCATCTCGGGGGGCGTCCGGGAAGTAGCGGTATCGGTACTTGTTGTGTTTTTCCCCTCGACCTCCGCCTTCCAAGCCTTCCTCGGGTCGGGCGAAAGGGGGGATTTGGGAAAGGGAGGGTTACGAAATTTGCTGCATGCAGCTGGTTTCGGCCTCACCGAGGGGCCCATTCCTCGAGACATGGGCGCCTCCCGGCGCCGGGAGGCGCCGGGAAAATCAGCTACGTGAGCTGATTCTCAAACCCCCCCTTTGCTATCCCCCCCTTTCGCCCGACCCGCTTTCCGCGCAGCAGGTGCCGCCGCGGCGCGGCCATGGCGACCGCCGAGGCCGCCGCGGCGGCCTCGACGGCGGCCGCTCCTGCGGCTCTGCTGGCGGCGGCCGCCGCGCGGCACCTGCCACCCGGAAGGTGCGGAAGGTGGAGGTCCAGGGCCCCGCGCCCTCGACCACCTCCTCCTCCTCCTCCTCCTCCTCCTCCTCCTCCTCCTCCTCCTCCTCCTCCTCCTCCTCCTCCTGGGTGGGGGGGCGCTGCGGGGCCCAGGGCGGCGGCCAGGAGCCGGGCGGGGCGGATGCTCCACCCTCTAGCCGAGGCCAATAGTTCCAGCATTCGAGGCAGGTGCTTAGTGCTGTGCGCTCCCCCATTCTGGCCATTCCGTTCCGTTCCGCTCCCACCCTCCGCCCCCCCCATCCCTGATCGTCGTCGCTTCCCTCCTCGGTTTCCCCCGGCCTGGTTCTCCTCAGTGTCATCCCTGGCCCCTCTCCTCAAAGGTCCTTGCTTCGCGCTCCTCGCTCGTCTGTTCTCCTGTTCTCCCATCTCACTCATCTCCTTCTTCTTCTTCTTCTCCTCCTCCCCTTTCTTCCTTGTTCTCTGCCTCTTCATCCTGCGTGCCCACGGCCCCTCATCACTCCACCTTTCTCCATTCTCCCACCGCTATCGTCACCATCGCCATTATCATCGCCCTCCGAGTCCTTCTCCCCCTACTCTCCCTCCTCATCCGAGTTCTCTTCCCTCACCCGTTCTCCTCCAATCCCATTTCTCCATTCTCACAAGCGTCTCCCACTCCATTCTTGCCCTCTCCCAGTATTGAAGACATGTGGATGTGGAGGCGCAGAAAGAGCGAACAGGAGGCGTCGACGGCGACGACGACCACGACGATGGCGACGACCGCGTCGACGACTCCGACGGCGACCACAACCGCGTCGGCGACAGGCGACGGCGGCGACGCCGATCGCGACGACGCTGGAGACCACGACGCAGGCGACCACGACGACGGCGACGACGAAGGCCGCGACCACGACACTGCGTGTACGACGTGGGCCTCGGCTACCATACCACGGCGACAGACGGCGACCACCACGGCGACGCCGGCGGCCATCAAAAGGCGGATCGGCAACGGCGTCGAACGGCGGCGGCCGGCGGCGCTGGCGCCCGCCACGGCAGCGACCTCCGCCGCGGCCGTCGGAGGGGTGCACGTCCGCCGCCGAGAGCTGCACCAGACCAGGCGCCTCTCGCTTCGCCCGTGGGGCGACCGGGCCGCCGCGGCAGGCGCCGCGGGCGCCGCCGCCGCCGCGGGGCATCTCATCGCCGCCGCCGCCCTGGAAGTCTCGCCGCCGGCAGTCGTCTCGTCGTCGCCGTCGGCGCCGTCACTGGAAGCTCGTCGGCGGGCGCTCATCCTGAGGCGGCGGTGTACGGCGTACGGTCAGGCTCTTTGGCTCAGCGTGTCGCTCCGCTGGTTCTGTCCCACCACGCTTTGGTGCGAGGGTTGCAAATGGGATGGAGGGCTTAGCCGTTTCTGCCAAGGTGGGTTTTATTTGGCCTTTGCTGGCCTAGGGGGTGATTCGTTTTGGAGCTAATTCGTGTCCTGCGCCGTCTGGTTTCTCTTTCGGATTTCTTGCAGCCATCAGTCGGCTCGTGCTCGACGTTCGCTGTCTCGGCGCATTATCCTAAGCCCTGGCGGGTTCTTTCCCACACGTTTGGTGAGGAAGAAAATTGCTCTCAAACGCAACCGTGTTCTCGCTCGTGCCGTCCCTCTCCAGCCTCATTCCGATGCCTTTTAACGTAGCCTTCGGCGCGTGGCGGCATCCACTTTTTCGCGCTTGCTGTTTTGGCGCTGGCTGTGGTGGCATGACTTGTTGGAGTTTGTTGATCTCTCGAAGCCACATGGGGCACCTGTGACCTAACTTGTGGTTCATGTTCTGGCCAGGCGTGGCCCACGTTGCTGGCCCCCCCCCCTATCCCCTTGGCAGCCTCCGCGCCGAGCCCGGTAGGGGTTTTGTTTCAAGCGCCCTGTCAGTGGGTGCCCTTGGGCGCCCCGTGGGCGCCCCGCGCTTTGGGGGGCTGTGCCGAGGCTTCGCCTGGTGCCTGCATTCTCCTCCTGCCTCCTCCTCCTCCCACTCCTCCTTCTCCTCCTCCTCCCCCTCCTCCCCCTTCTCCTTCTCCTCCATCTCCTATTCATCCTTCTCCTCTCCTCCTCCCCCTCCTCCTCCTCCTCCTCCTCCTCCTCCTCCTCCTCCTCCTCCTCCTCCTCCTCCTCCTCCTCCTCCTCCTCCTCCTCCTCCTCCTCCCCTCCTCCTCCTCCTCCTCCTCCTCCTCAGGCTGCCGTTTGGGGTCCCACGCGCGCGGGGGCGCGCGGCGGGCGCATACCTACCGCCCCAGCCTGCGGCCTGACGGCGGGCGCAGGCGATCTCGTAGCACCGGGCGGCCTCGGGAGGCGCGGCCCGTCGCCTGCCTGGCATCGCCGCCTGCGCAGGCGCCGCACCAGTGCGCGGCAGACGCTCAGAGCGGCGGCCGCCAGGCGCTTGTTGCGGTCGCGCCACGGCAGCGCCTCCCCAGACGACCCAGATGCCATGCCGCCGTCGGAGGGAGAGGCATGGCCGTGCAGGGCGACATTGCGGTGTGGGTTCCGCAACGACTGTGCTGCGAGGAGTACGTGCTGGGCGTGTGGCAGAGACAGGGGCTGCAAGCCCTCGGTCGCACCCCGGCGCACCCCCAGCGCAGCAGCACGCAGCCGCCAGCCCTCAAGGAACCAGGAGGCGCCCTGGCGCGATCGTGCTGATCATGCTGCCGATGCTCCTCAGGCTGGTCCTTATGCGCCACCACAACAGTCAGCCGCTGTCAAGGCCAAACGGGCCTGAGTGGCGCTACGGCGAATCTACGGTGACGAGCATGCCCTGGTCATCGCCGCCGAGGCCGACCTCGACGTGACAAGGCGGAGCATGCATTCCGTGCTCAGATGGACCCTTGGGCCTGTTGCGGGGAGAGCTCGGTGGACGGCAAAGGAGACGGAGAGAGCAGACAAGGCCGCCCGGGTCGACAAGCTCGAGAAGGAGATCGTGGACGCCAAGCAACAGCTCACCAAGCTCGAAGGTGAGGTTGCGGGGCTCAGCGCTGAGGTCGCCCAGGCCCAGGCAGCGGTCGCGGCAGTTGCAGCGAACGGGGCGGCGCCTGGGTTGGCAAACGCATCGGTTGCAGCCCAACAGCTGTAGGCCGTCCTGCAAGCAGCTCGAGCTGGCATGGCAAATCTTGATGGCGCCCAGCTTTTGTCCACCATCGAGCAGCAGCTCACCAACATCGGGACCATGGCTACTTCGGTTGCAGCCCCGCTTGCGAAAACATCGAGGCCGCCTGCACCTACCACAGGACAGTCAGCCGCTTTTCGTGCCCCAGCAGACTTGCGTGACAGCATGCCAGTCGATCAGGCAGCCTGGGAGCACGCGGGCGTCGAACAGGACTGGGACTAGAGCGCCTAGAGGATCCAACCGTAAAGATATTGCAGTTGCTACCGTCAACGTTTCTTGCTGGGATTCATGCAGAGATTTTTCCATGGAAGGTACGGAAAGGGGTCAATATCGTATGTGTGCAAGAGTTGAGACTTGATGCTGAGCGTCTCTTTTAGGCGCAGCCCTGGACTCGTCGCAATGGATGGCAAGCTTTTTTTATCACGTCATGCCGCAGGTAACCAGCAGGCATGCCGAGCACGGGTGCAGGGGTCTTTGTACGCTCGCACCTTCCTGCCACCGCGCCTGGCAGTTGTCATACGCGTGGATGTCGGACTCACATTGAGTGTCAGCGCAGAGGGGCTACCCCACGCCTGCCATGTTCCTCAGGTACATGAACAAGCCATACACCATGGACGGGGATTGGAACATCTCACCCCGGGACTCTCTGTTGTTGGGCTTACCTGATGTACTCATTGGCGAGGAAGAGGGCACCTGTCGTGCGGCGAAGGGCAACTACAACAACTTCGATTACTACGTAATGTCGCCTGGCGTTAACATTGTCTGCAGCACGCCTACCACAGCGCTAACTTGGCCAGCGCGACCACATAAGCCTGCCAGCACATACATCAGGGCTAAGCCGAAGAACAATGCAGATCCTCTCCACCAAGACGCCGACATGTTTCCCCAAAGGGCCCCCTGCCACTGAGGGCTGCAGGCCCTTTCCAGGGGCCGGTTCGCGCGCCGGCCCACCTGGGGATTGTCGACAAGGGTGCTCAGAGATGACCTCCGACGACCAAGGGGGAAAC